ACATATACTGCGCAAACGTCAATGTTTTCTAAAGCACCTAGACTTGTCAGCCGCTTCCCCTAAACGTCGGAGCACATCATGTGGTCAACAAATGACGTGCAAACAAGGTAAAGTACGATTAATAAACGTAGGTGTTTTTCGTCTTCATAATGGAGTCCGAAGAACTCCGCAGCCGGATGGTCGAAGACATTGAACACAGCAATTAACATTCGTGCTGCCATTTATCAAACCAGCATGTTTTAAAGTTTGTTGGGGCTTTGGAACCCAAGGTCTGAAGTTGNGAAGTTGAACTCCCGTCACCACCACCCAACCTTGGTAGTAGTCAGGTTCGTCAACACCCGGTTCAAAACAACGCCGAACTCAACGCGGCATTATGTGGTTCATCATTCCAAGTTCCGGGACTCCAGTGGCTGGTTTCCATCACTGAACAACGGGTAATCTTCTGTTCACCACACAAATGTATTGTAAAAAATGTTTCTGGTGTATGCACCCCATGTTTTGGCCATAGAGATTCACCACCATGCTGCCCCTATCCCCATCTACGTAACGCATTTGCAGTTGCTTCCTCTATGTTGTAAGCTTGGCAGCGATCAGCGAAGTTTGATTCACTGTACTTCGTAGTAGGAGAAAGGCATAATTTTGGCCTTCTTATTTGATACACGAGTGTGTTAGCATCTCTGAGGAAATATGAAGTGAGTACTTAAAAGTTATGGTATGACAAAAGGAACAATGAAGTGTTTAGATTTAAAACTCACGGAATATAGTGCTGGAAACTTCTACTATCCAACTTATCAGTAATACCAGAGGGTCACAGATCGAAACTTTAAATAAACGTCTTCCAAATGATTTTTTTATTGCAAACCATCATTCGACAGATATTGTAAATGCTGCAAGCATTAGTCTAATAGGCATTAACCGTATCCATCGGAGAAAGCATATTTTCAATCGACTAATCAGTTGGGTAATATGACATTGGACGAGTATAGAGTAGGCCACTTGGTGCTTACGCGAAATTTGATTTGTGCAATTACAACGCCCTTGAATTTTCCCGTCTGAAGAGATATCGAACAAAGTACCCATTGACAATGTAGATGGATGAATTAGTCGAAGTTTGGCTAAATGAACAACCGGTAGGTAATAATGGCAGGAAAAATAACAACTTACAGCAACACCGTCGGTCCCTTCAAAAGCGTCACCGTCATCCGGTCGCTTTCGGTTGCCCTTCATAGGCCACGACACAAAATGCGGTCCCATAGAACTAGTTGCCTCCGGCATAGCCATCAGTGGTTGGTTCGAATCCGGTGGCAAACCGATTTCGTGGGGCATTGGATGACCATACTCTCCAGGTGCCCTGCCCGTGGGGAATGCAACTTCGGGGGGAAGGTAATTCAAACCACGTTCGGGGCCCATGGGATGACCTGGATTGAATGGCGCAGCGTTACAATATGAGGGATCGAAAGCCGCCGGTATAGCACTTCGTGTTGGATAATACACCGCCGGGTTGGACAAAACATCACCCATCAAGCCATCGGGGGGCGGAACTCCAAATGGAATGCGACCTGGAAGAGTTTCTTGAAGAATGGGTGAGAAAGGTTGGCCTGTAATCCAAGGATGCTGCAAGCAATCCCAAGCGGTCGCCCGTTCATTAGGATCGTAGGCTAACATTGGAGCAATGAAACTGGTGAACTGTGCAGCCTCGTTCGGGGGCCAGTCATATTTTTCCGTAAGCACATCAAACAGGCTCCAGGGCTTCAAGCGCCTAATATGCCGTAAGCAGGCTGGTAAACAAGATAATGAAAAACAGGATACCCTGAAGTTAAATACTTTCTATGACAAAGGTTAAGGAGAGCATCTGAAACGACAAATATTTTGTTAATATAACGAACTAAACAGAGATAAGGGGTGTCATCAATGTGCATGGCAACATTCAAAGCAAGTAGTCCGAAGGTAGTATTCGGCTAGTTAACTGAATTGGTTGAATGTTATTGAAGTTACTTGTTGCGCTGTTGTGATGGTAAACATGATGTGGTTCACTCCTTCAAGAGGGGGCTATTTTGAGCGAAGGAACATAAAATTGTGTTCTCCGAAGTTACTTTCTTGAAAAAAAGCCTAATCACGTAAGAGGGATTTACATTGTACACCAGATGAATAGCCGTCTTTTAGATACACTTAAAAGCTCACCTTATAGTGTTATGCATTACTTCCAACGTCTTTCTGGTTCGAATGCATTTTTATTGGATTTGATGTCTGACGTACTTGTTGCGTTCGATAATATACAAAAGCTATATCCTGGCTGAAGTCAAACTGATATTTTAAAGAACGAACTACGTAAATAATGACCAGTTATGTAGATATCGGTGCAGTACTTGGAATAGATTTGCACACAAAGCACTCTAAGGTCTTCTATTGAATTTGATTGTGGTCGCCGATGCAGAGAGGACAGGAACTGACCTGCAGTAGTACAGCCAGAACACCTC